GCTTTCGTGGGCTAAAACCCACTTCATCAGATGTGTTCTAGCCCATGAAAGTTTATGCCCAAACAAATTTGTTAGTCTCTAAGGTTCCACAAGGACTCCTCGTTGTTTTTCCTGATACAGACTAACACAGCTACCACTCTGAAACCTGTCATTTAGCAGTAAGGCATTCCCTGGGAAATATCCCACCCTCTTCCACCCTCTGATTCCACCACCTCAACCAAGCTGCACAATCATCATTGTATGTGCATATACAATATAGATATAGTTATATATAGATATATAGATATACACACACACACAGTCTTTTGTCTGGCAAAAAAAAAATTTTATTCCCTTCCTCCTACTTCCCCCAGCCCCTTCATGTTAACACCTTTCAGATACTTACAGTGGTCACATCCCCACCTCCTACTCACGGCTCACCTGAGCCAGACAGATTTAGCTCTTTTAGTATCGCCTCCTAACTCGGCCCCTACACTCCCTGGCCCTTTTTGCTTTGACAAATGTTTCTGGTTGAGCCCAAAGCAAAGCCCCATTAACCCAGCTGTGTGGACAATTGTGTTCTCATCTCCTTTCTGCCCCAGCTCTGGGGTCATGGACATTTCCTGCCTCACACCCTTTAATAAACTCAGTGGCCCTGTATGCCAATGGCTGACCAGAGTCTGAGGACGAGAGGATTTTGAAAAACCCAGAAACAGCCTAGAGTCAAGAGAAGTTCTTGCTGAGAGACTGGGTGATGAGTGGCCGGGGGATTAAGGCAGTGGCAAGGAGCTGGGAAGAATTTTACCTTCAATGCAAATCCATTTGCGAATCCACGGGGGCAAAGGTTCTTTTCCCCCCATTCACCCCATGAGCCTCCATTGGATACAGCTATGGTGCCGGTGTACCTACGCGCTCCTGCATCTTGGAAGCAGCAGGAGAGGAGCAGGCAGAGCCCTGCATGGATGAGGGGCTGCATGGTGAAGTATCAGCTCTGGAGCTACCCACAGAGAAGCTTGTGAGTGACTAGCAGTCCCAGGCACAGGGAGCTTTATACCCAGGAAAGCTGGGCTGGGTTTCCTTTCTCGCCTGGTGCCAAATCAGTTTGGGAGCAATCACTCAATGCCGCGCTGTTGCCAGCACAGGGGTGCCCGAGGACAGCAACAGCGGGTTCGTTGCCCGGTGTGCTTCGCATCTATAAACACACCAGGTGGAGAAGCAAACAAAGTTTATTTGGGATCCCAAAGCGGTGCTAGGAGACAGGCACGTCTCAGATCAAGCACACTAACAGGAACAGTTTTTCTTCTTTTATACATTTT